TTTTCTTAAAAATATGTTTTTAAAAAGAAAGATTTTTTCTTTAAAAAAGAATTTCGTAAAACATAGCAAGATGTTTTTATAAAAAAAATCGTAAAAAAATGAACTCAAAATTTTAAAAAACCAATTGCAGATTCGAGTTCCGGGACCTAGATTTCCCTTCGTCAACCTTTATTACAATCTTTATTTTCGCAAAGAATCCTTCTTCTAACCGAAAAAATTCAATTCAAAATTTGAAAAATCTGACTTCAGATTCGGATTTCCCGATCCCGATTCAATCTCGTCAAATCTTTATAAAATATCCTTATTTGCTCAAAAAATCCTTCCTCTAACCGAACAAATCCAATTCAAAATTTGAAAAATCTGACTTCAGAGTCGGATCCCCCGATCCCGATTTAATATCGACAAACCTTTATGAAATATCCTTATTTTCTCAAAATATCCTTTCCCTAGCTCAAAAAATCCGATTCAAAAATTTTCAAAATCTATTTGTAGATTCAAATTTCTCGGTCTCCATTTACCTTTGGTAGAAATTCTCTACTGAAATCTATATGCTAGTGGAACTGTATATGATTGAAGGAAATATTTGGATTGAGCCTAAGCTTAGTATCGATTGGACCCTGGGAACAACCGAACCCGGGAATCTCGACCTGTTCTCGGGTTCGGTGCATGCCTATGCCAAAACGACTACGACTTATAAAAAAAGTAAAACGAGGTATAACAGAGTACATGTGAAGTATAAGGGAGTGCAGTGAAGTATATTGGAACTACACGGAAGTACTATGGAAGTATGGTGGAAGTACGATGGAAGTACAAGAAAGTACACACTCCTGAAGTCTCACTCCTTCCCGCATGGTGTACCTCCGTCATTTGTCACGACCATCGTAAACGATAGTATATAGATGCTGATGTTAATGTAGATGTCTGCAGACGATCGAGCGTGTGCCGAATTCGAATATTCAGATTCGATTGGATTTGAATTTAGTTGGACTCAAAATTCAAATAGACCCAAGATTAAACCCTTCGATTCTACATGACTTCAATATATGTCTAGACTGAAGCAAAATTTATAACTTGTTTTTATGAAAATTATAATCGAAAGATATTGAATATGAAGATTTACAGAATTTTATTTTCCATTTTTAGAGGTAAATCCATTAACTATTTTTCGTTATATTTGTCTGTGGATTGAAAACTTTAAGGTTTCTTATATCATTTACTTTTCCAAATATCTTTAATTTTCAGATGATGAAATAGTTATTGAACTATCCTTTTTCTAGTATTCCATGAAACTCTCTATCCCATATATATTATTAAAAGTTTTATATATTAACAAACGATCGATATACAATCAAGAGAAAATAAAAATTGCATTTCATATCTGTCTTCTTCCTTTATTTAGAGTTATTTATAATAAAAAAAAGAACTTTATTGTTACATGATTTGTTCCATTGGAAAACACACATGTCTAACGTAAATCTTCTTCGTCTTCCAGTTGAACTACTTCACCGTATATTCGACTATTTTGAAGTCCAAACAATATGTTCAGTTCGACGAGTATGCAAACAACTGCATTCGATTACAAGCACTTATGATCGATTTCATCTCAATATAAACTCTCAGTCAAAACGTCTATTGAAATTGTTTGCTCGATGGATTTTACCAGAAAGTATTGTTTCACTAACATTTGACATCCCTGAGTCTAGAAATTATTACTTCTGGTGTCTGCGAACAGAATCCGAAGATGATATAATTCGTCTATTCATATCATTTTTCGCTGGCGATCGATTTACTCGACTTCGTTCATTAGTCATCAATAGAACATATGATAGGGATATAGATTTTCTTTCGCATCATTTGAACACCAGTTCTCTGGAATCATTATCGATCCATCTGTGTGAAGAGAAAGTGAGCAGCACAATAGCTTTTATTGATGCAATTCTTAGTCAAAATTGTATTCGAAAGTTGTATTTCAACAATACAGTACTCATAATAAATGACATGCTATTGCCAGATCATTGCAAATTAGAACACTTGAAACTTAATACCTGTGGGTATAACCGATGTCTAATCGTTCTTAACAACCTGCTTAATTTAAAAACATTTGTAATAGATGAATGGAATAGCTATAATTTTCGTTTTTCGACTAGTTTGCTTGCTTGCAAGCATCCATCGTTATTAACATCTTTAACAATTAGCAATTGTATTCTACCTATGGAACATATTGAAACGTTACTTTCACGAACACCAGCACTTGTTCGTCTTAAATTAATATCACGTAAACGTGCATTCGACTCTATTTTCGACGGTTACAATTGGGAACAATTCATTATTAATAAGTTACTGCAACTCAATCAATTTGAATATTTCTTTTCTTTCATTCATAAAACAAATGATTATATGGCAGTTCTTAATCGCGTTATTGCCTCATTTCAAACTCCATTTTGGTTACAGGAGAAACACTGGTATACTATATGTAGCTATGCATTTGAATCCCAAACGTTTGAACTTCATAGTACTACAATCCATGTGACGGATTCCGATAATTTGATCAAATTTGAAAAGTCGGCAGAAACTAATACATGCCGTCTTGTTGGACAACCGCCGAAAACTGATAGAAAAAAGGTACATGTCCTGATGTCTTTGATAGTAGTGTCAAATTTGAAAATTAAATTCACGTAGCCAGAGTCTTCTCTATTTGATTCTTTTTCTGGCACTCACATGTCATGCTGTCCCTCCATGTTGCCTGCACCCATCTGGATGGCGACCTCTCAACTCTTAGTTTCATGAGAAGTTCAATAGTTGAATTCAAGTTTCAAGCTTGATATCTCTACTGAACTCATTCGATTCTAATTTCTTTTACCATAGACGTACGCTGTACTAGATCTTAGTAATAAGACAATTGACGACACTACCGTTAAATTTCTATCGTTTGCACTGCAACACGACAAGGTAAGATATTGTTTTTCGATTCTCATTCGCTCACATCGATCTTTCATTGTGCTTCCACAAATGTTTTTCGTGTACTCTGATTATTTTTACATAACAAAGTATTAAGACATTTTGACAATATAGACTATCGGCATATTAAACTTAGCTGGAAATCAAATTGGAGACATTGGTGCAGAACATCTTGCAACTGCTTTATTGAACAATACGGTAAGATTTGATACTAAAGGCTTCTTTCCATTTTGTCCTACAATTCAAAAGACACTCGTAGAACTCAATCTTCGGCGTAATCAAATTGGTATGAGTGGTGCACAATGCTTTTTTAAGTTACAACAAAATAATACCGTAAATTTTGTTTCTGATTATCCTCTGACTCTCGTACATTTTCAAATTTTAAGACATTGAAAAAGCTTGAACTGAGTGAGAATGCTAATAATATCTGTACGATTGTTGAAATTCCTAACAGGATTCGCCACGATACGGTAGTTGATTGTTTTATCCCATTTGATATATATATATTATCTCTATTGCATTTTACAGACACTAAACTCATTAAACCTTGCAAAATGTCAGATCGGTGACCTAGAAGCACAATGTTTGGCTGAAGCATTGAAAACTAATAATGTAATATCTACGGGTGGGTTTTTTGTTAAGAAAAACATTGTATTTACGTCTTTAGAGACTGGTTTCACTCGACCTCAGGGATAATAACATAAGTGATATTGGCATAGAAATGATAGCTGATGCATTAAGAAACAATACCGTAATAGAAAATCTCATATGATTTTGTAAAATATCTTGTCATCTATTTGTTTCTAGATACTTTCAAGAATCTATCTAAATGGAAACCCTAGTCAGCTTTGCACGGTGGTCACAACAATGCAGCGAATGAAATGTGACAGGGTAAAATATACTCTCGATTTTCTTCTCATTCAAAATAGTAATATTTTTTGTTTATTTACAGTCCTTAACCATTTTGAAAGTTCAAGGGTGTCAAATTGGAAATAAAGGAGTACAGTATTTGACTGCTATTTTTCAACATAACAATGTAATTATTAATATCTCTTTTTGTGTATTAAAACGTCGTTCTTTTTACAGACAATTATTACAGTAAACTTGGACAACAATGAGATTGGTGATAATGGAATGAAATATCTCGCTAACGTCTTGAGAGAAAATAAGGTCGGTATCGTATTGATAGTAAATCTTTTCTATCTAAGGTATGCTTTGTCGCAAGACACTCACTACATTGAGTCTTAGTTATAATCGAATTACTGACAATGGAATAAAACATATCGTCGACGCGATACCAAACAATACGGTATGCTTTGTCATCATTCGCCTCTCTTTTTTATTTATATTTTTCAATAAAAAAAGAAAGGAAAAATATATGACCATTCACATTCTGAGAGAAATCCGTTGAGTGCAACATAACGCATCTTTTTATTAAACTATAAATACTGAACGTTTATTGAAGTCAATTTCCAGATCACTCTATAATCTATGTATGAACATAAAGTCATATTTGTTCTCATGTCATAGCTCAGTAGTTTCTAACATTGAACAGAAAACATAAAACATTTCTGCGGCATCAATAACAAATCGAATCGTCTGTATAGTTTTTATTCTTTTACAGACACTTACCATACTTGATCTTGAAAGAAATCAAATTGAAGATAAAGGAGCCGAATATCTTGCAGATCTGCTACGAAACAATAAGGTATATTGTAATTTTGATTTTTTCAAAAAATAACTACTTACAAATCGATCCTAAATAATTAATACTTTGGGAAATCTAGGAAGAATTCATCAACACCTATGTAAAAGAAATGATAGAAAAAAAATCTGATTTAAATCAATTTCCTACTTTTAATTCATTTTAATCGATTTGGTTCAAAAATAGTACTCTTCTCAAGATCCGAACGCGGAACGTTCATTTTTGATGACATTTTTGGATTATCCGTGATAATAAACCATTAACCTAGAGCTCGACTGGAGCTCTGCAGGTTGCACGTAACCTGTTAACCTGCGATTAATTGTACTCATTCAATATTGTCAACATCTTTTCTAAAATTGTATATGAAGAAAAATAGATTTAATAAAATTAACCAACTCGTCGATGAGAAAAAGTTAATTACGATCACTTGCACTCAATTCCATTCATTCGATATTTTTGTATTAGAAATTTTTGAGAAAATTCGTGTTGTTTTTATCTGTTTTATGCTTGAAGTATTTTGAATTAAATTGATTTTCAAAACTTCTGTGAAAGTTTCAATTTTTCTTTGCGTCAAAAAAGTCAAGAGCAGGGCAGTGTCAGGTTACGAAATTTTTACAGCGCAGGTAACAGGTTACAGAAATTTCGTAACCTGCAGCCCTCTATGCTTGACAGATACTATAAAGTTGGAACTGCTATATAAATTGTTTCATTTGAGATTGCGCAATTACTTAATTAATCGATTTAAGTCGAAGTCATTTGGAAAAATCGATTTTAATCGATTTCGTTTAGGAAAATCAATTAAAATCGGTTATTCGTTGCAATTTAATCAAAATTCACCACTCTTAATCGATTTTTGTGATTTTTCTTTGGATAATCGGTTTTAATCAGATTTTTTGGCCCTTTTTTTTTACATGGGACTGAGCTATATATTAAGCTAGGAAGCTATGGCTAACTTTACTTCTTGCTTCTCTTGCATTTTAACAAATGAATACATCGGCGTAAACACTTTGAAAAAGATCTTCGGACGTAGCAAAAGAAAGGAATCATATTAAATTGATTGTTGCGATGTGAAATCGATTTGTGCATGATGAAATCGATTAAAACCGATCTTAGAAAATTATCTATATGTAAAATGTTCAGGGTGTGCGTCTGCGCTGAGTCAAAGGTCAGTAGGCTATACGAAAGTTAGGCTGCACAGGGATAAGTATATAAGGAGATAAGGCTCGAGGAGGCAAGACTGTAAAGGAGTAAGGCTCTTAGGGAGTAACACTATAAAGGTATAAGAGGTTGAAGATACAAGGCTAGAAAGACGCAAGGAAAAGTCAAAAGGATATCAGGTTTGAGTCTAAGACTATAAGAGGATAAAAGTACTGTGCTAGAGGAATGTAAGAAAGTAGAACTGTAGGTCGACGGAAGCGTTACGATACAAGGCTATATAAGGTCTATGTATATGTAATATAGTATCTGATTGTCCGTTACCAGGTCAAGCCTAAAGTAGTGGCGACGCTACTAGAAGGGGAAGGTGGAGCTAGTGAAAGCTGAGTCTTCCCTAGAATCTGTTTAAGCCTTGCCAGAGTCTTTGAAAGTTCCTAGTAATAAAGTTGCTGATCTTCTTCAGAAAACTGTTTGAGCCCCCTAAAAAGTCTAAGCTGAGGGCTGAGCCATCCCGCATCCCCCCCTCCCCCCCAGATCAAACTTTTTTGCATCATCGCTGGACTACAGTACAAGTGTGAAACTTTACAGGAAAAACAGTCGTGCAGCATGCACAGAAAATCACTGGGTGATTAAAATTGATTAAAAACAATAGAATTTATATGAATTATGCGATTTCCACACAGAAAATTCGATTAAAATCGATTATCCCTAAATTTAATCGGATTTTCCGTCTTTCCTTTGCATGGGCACGATTTCTTTCTATATTCAACATCTGAATTTATCTAGACACTTATCACTTTGAATCTTCAGAAAAATCGTATCGGTGACATTGGTGCACAACATTTTCGTGAAGCTTTGAAATTGAACAAAGTATAATATTCCTTTAGGGAAGATCCTTTGACCTCTTATAATTTTTATTCAGACACTTTTGAAGTTAACTCTACGGGGTAATCAAAGTAGTTCATGCACAATTGTTCAAATGGAACATGAAATAAAGCATGAAATGGTGAGATATAACTTATTTTTCCTATCATATTTTACTCGTTATCATTACCTGTGGTTAGATATGCGCCACAGCTGATTGGACAGGTCATCACATCGGAAAGGAAAAATTAGAATGTTTGGGTGCTGCGCTGCGAACAAACTACGTTAGTTTATGTAATATTTTTGTTCGAAATTTCGCTCTTGTTCTGAAATAGACAACAATCATATTGATACTTGATGAGAATCATATTGGAAACAATGGCATAAAACATATCGCTGATGGTTTATTGAAGAACACGGTAATAGAGAAACAACATTTCATTTATGATTTATTTCATGTTTTACACATATAGACGCTGCAAGAATTGAGTGTTCGAAATAATCGAATTGGTAACGAAGGAATGGAATATATCGCCAATGTTTTGAAAGAAAACATGGTAAAAGTTATATTAATAGTAATTTTTTCGTGTATAAGATAGTTTTCTTGTTAAGACACTCATTACATTGAATCTCAGCAAGAACTCAATTGGAAATGATGGGGTGAAATATCTTGCTGATGTTTTGAAGAAAAACATGGTGATTACTACTTGAATCGCAATTTTCTTCAATCAAAGATATTTTTTCTGAGAAGACACTCATCACATTGAATCTGTCCAATAATCTAATTAGTGATGATGGAGCGAAACATCTCGCTGATGCAATACAAAATAATACAGTACGTAGTATTATCACGTATCTCTTTTATGTTGAATCTTTGACTACAATACACAAGTAATAATATTCACATTTTCTTCTTCACAAATGGTTCAATGTATACGATAATTAGAGTCGAGTTGTTCGAGCTTTGAAAGAGTATCTATGTCTTTCGAGATCAGAGCTAGGTTGATTGAAGTAGTATTAATGGGTGAGAACTGAAGAGTGAATGAAAAGAAAGTGAACATGTTTGTCCTATTCCATAGAATGAAATATCTTTTCTCTAGAAACTCATCAAATTGAATTTGGAGAACAATCGAATTGGTGATAGTGGGGCACAACAAGTCGCAATTGCTTTGAACATCAACACAGTGAGTTATTTCGTTGGGAAAGGTTATACTTCTGTACTGGTTTATCTTTTGATCAGACGCTGTGCAACATTTATCTCAGTGGCAATGCTACCTATTTCTGTGTAATAATTGAAGTTTTGCATCAGCTACGACATGGCAAAGTGACATGCTCTTTTTTTCTTTTTCTTTGTCATCTTTGTAGTTTTTTAGATGCTTACCTCGTTGAACTTTTCAAAACGCTGTATCAAAGATGAAGAAGTTCAAATTTTGGCTCAATCATTGACTGATAGCAAAGTGACTTTTTTCTTATAGTTGATCTTCCAAATTGTGCATACTTGTATTTTAGACAATTAACAAGTTAGAGCTCTCTTCAAATCAGATTGGAGAGAATGGTGCTCAATATCTTAGTAATGCGTTACGAAATAATGCAGTATTTCTAGTTATGTTTATTATTTGTTTAATCTCAATTTTTTCTCTTGACTTAGACACTTTCTTTATTGAGTTTGAACATGAACTCAATTGAAAACAAAGGTTTACAACATATTGCTGCTTGTTTGATTATTAATAAAGTAAAAGAGTATTTCATCATTATCATGTTCACCTTGATATTGATAATTAGACTATAACTAAGCTGAAACTTCAACAAAATAAAATTACAGATGAAGGAACTTATTGTTTAATAGACTTATTACAAAACAATAATGTACGATCAACTTTACAATCATTACTTTAATGTTTACTTTCTTTGCTATTTTGCAGACTCTTACTGAATTGGATTTGTCCTTCAATAAAATCACAAATCATGGTGCAGATAATTTAGCATGTGGTTTACAGTACAATACAGTAAGATATTTTCACATATCATCTCCCTTTTACTTCTTCGAAAAATCCAAAGTATTGTTGAATTTAAAGCATGTAGATATAAGGAATGAAATTTTCTAAGATGAAAAGAAAAATTGAATATTCCTGAGTAGTCACAAAAGAATGGAGAATTCTTGCAACCCATACACCAAATATATATCATTCGATAATCTTTAAGACACTTACTATATTGAATCTTTCTCGAAATCAAATTGGAGATGTGGGTGTTCAAAAACTGGCAGACATTCTACAAATTAATAAAGTAAGAAATTTTTCATTTGGATGTTCACATTTTTATTTTTAATTTTGATTGCAGACATTGATCATATTACAACTTATGCATAATCAAGTCAGTAAACGAATTCAACACAAATTAAATTCAAAAGATTCAAGAATTTCAATCTAATGATACAAAGTTTTCATTGAATCGAATACTTATTATTCTAGAAATTTTCTTTTTTTCACATCATTCATATGAATAAGTAAAAATATTGCATGAAAAATAATACTCAAATCGCATTTGCTGATCACTTGATATCCATGACATAGATTGAATACTGCACTTCGTATATAAACACTGTTCAGAGTAGCTTCTTCTCTTGAAGGAAAAAACTGAAAAAGAGAATATTGAAACTTGCGTTTTTAGAAAATAACGTACGATGCAAAATTAATGGCACAAAATGTTGATCAGTATTTCGTTTCGATAGAAAGACGCTGAAAGAAAGCTTTTCATATCCAAAGTTAGAGCTTTCTCTTCTCTTTCGAATGGCATATCATTTATTTTTATACTAAATCTATAAATGAAACAACATAATAGAAAATAGAGATACCTTAAAAACAAATTCTGCACTTTTTGTGACATTCAAAAAACGGCGAAAAATGTTGACTTCTATGTTTCTTGAATAATTCTTCGATAAACATGTGCCGAAAAGAAAGTTTGGGTACCGATTGATAGAAAATTTTCTCCTCTTTCGAACATTTTATGATTCATATTTAATACATGTTCATAAATGAAATGTAACTAGAATGAAAAAGAAACGTTCACGCAATCAATTCATGGTTTTCAATATGAAATTGTGAACGGTATCTTGATAGACAATGATCAATTCGATTTTTTGTACTCTTTAAAAAGCTCTTCCAAAGCTTGATTACTTTCACTTTTTTGAAGTTTTGCAAACCATCTTTCACATGGCAGTTAATTATAATTAATTGTCATTTACAAGATATTTTCTGATGAGCTCATACAAAAATTGAAAATTCACTGAGCGAGTGTTTCTCTTTCTTTCTTTCTTATTCCATTTATAAACATGTATTAAATATAAATCATACGCGGTTCACTGATATAAAAGAAGCGTAGAATGATAAACCTTGAAAGTGTTTATCAGGATGCAACGGATAATATATCCTTTTCTACCATTAATCAGAATGTGCAAAACCCTTTTATCTACACCTAAAAATAGTGAAAAACAAAAGGGTTCATCAACTTAAAATACCCGCTATGAAAAGGTTTATCAAAACGTTTATAGGATTCAAAAACGGCTAAAGGATATATTATTCGTTGCATTCTCCTAAACCCTTTAAAGGGTAGATGAAATTTAAAAAACAATTAATGTCAATACAGTTATCTTGAGGGTGTGGGTGTGGATGTGGGTGTGGGTGTGGATGTGGGTGTGGATGTGGGTGTGGGTGTGGGTGTGGGTGTGGGTGTGTGTGTGGGTGTGTGTGTGGGTGTGGGGGTGGGCGCCCGTGCAGGCATGCGCCGCAGTGCAGCCCGCCCGATG